TGCAATAGACTTTCCAATAGCTGTGAAAGTGAATAAGGCAGGATTGGAAGAGCACTGTGAACTGCAGAGAGTTGAAAGAGGAATCTACCATGGATTCACCTGATGATAACGATCTGCCAGATGCTCCAGCTTTTCCCCAAGATTTTCATTATAACTCGTTCCAATCGCTCATTGATTCCCACGTAAAAAGACGAAAGAAAAAAGTCTTCGACAATTAAATATGAATAAATTCACTCCACGAAATAAATTCATTCACTGGAATTTGGCATATGCAACGGAATATCATCAATATCCAGGAAGGACTAGTGTATGTTGAGTTTTTGACTCGTCTGTCATCCCACGGGTTTTATCCCCGGGGTGGAACTAATATATTCTGCATGTAGAATAGGCAAAATACAGGATGGATCTATAGGTATATGAAGTCAGAGTCCAATCAGTCAGCGTGACGTAAACTCCCAACGGTGGACAGTCTTCCGTTGCAGTGTGGTGTTGCGGTTTTAGACGGCTGTTATTGAACACCGTGAGCTGTCGGTTTATCCTGACACGTTCTAGACCAACCACTGGTTCGACACCTGCATCGAGACACAAAGCATTCGATTATTGAGAAGAAAAATGCCAAGTTATAGTAAAAATTGTGCAATAGGGTGATTACGCTTCGACGAATTGTTTTGGTCGCTCTTATCAACACCGATACATATCGTTGATATCGCGGGAATGCGGATGCAGTTGTATTATCGATAAAGTTTGAAGTCCGCTTGAGTAACGATTATGCGGGAAATATCTAGGGGCTCTACAGGTACTTGGAAATTTCTGCTCTCTTAGCAGAAATGTCTTTTGCCTCTGGGGCCTATGTTCATCCTTCGAGAAGTGGATTTATATGAACGGATGCTGGATGTACGGGTATCTTGAATTGTCAGAGGGAAGAAAACAAGGGAAACTTTGGGAGATGAGAGTCTTGCACGTGCAGTTTCAGTCAACTGTGAATTTTGACTTTGTCAGTTGAGATGAGAAAATTCGGACAAAGTTAAATTAAATGAGTTGGTTAATCCACTCTGCGTTTTCCGCACGGCTTTCTATTTTCTACAGATTATGACGGAGAACCGCCTTTAGCTCTTCGTCGTGATTTTTCTTGGGATATACATTTTTTATCAACCAACTGTTGATTTTAAGTGTATCCAATATGTAGATGATAGTCGAACGCGCGAGTGATAGTGGAAAAACTAAATTTTATCCCACCCAATCCTCTGATTTATAACTTTTGGAAAAGACATAAATAAAATTTATTACAATTTATTCAGTGAATGGAATTCTATTGAATATTAAAAAATTAAATTAAACATTCCCCGAAAATTTATTCCATACAATATATATATGAGTACATACAATATTTTTTAATAACATAAACATTTCTTTAAAAATATTTACGTTTAGGTATGGTGATTATAAAAATGGTGACACTTTGGGTTCTTTTTTGAATTTTTAAAAAGGGATTGGTTTGCTGATATTATGCGAAAGCGGAGGATTCAGTGCGCCTTCCTCACGTGAAAAATAATGAAATAAAAAAATGGGGGTAATTGAATCAAATGACTCCCTCATGGGCCGCATTGTTTACGTCTGAAGTGAACAATCTGAGGTTGGGGGCACGGTGGGTCAGGGTATTATTACCAGTACTTGTGCCAGTCTGCTGAGGACCTATATAAGCCTCCACGGTCGACGTATTCGCGAACAATTCCAACCTCAACGCCGCAATTATAATTAATTGCAACCTGCGGGTCCCCTATTGGAGGCTAGCAGATGCTTTCAGGGTTATATATAAAACCCAAAGGATTTTCGAGTTATAGAAATCGTATTATTATTCACACGTTTGATTTTCCCTTTCGTCTCGTTTATTCCGCCAAACGCGATACAATAATTACTTAATTACTAATTAATGGTGTAATTTATTGATGCAAACAATTCCAATACGAAATTTTAAATTTTATAATGCCGATTTTTCAGTACTGGGATTTGTTTAAGTTGAATTATATTTGCAGTTGTTTTTCGTCGTAAATTAATAAATTAATGGATTAATAAATTGTCAGGGTTTCTGAATCAGTTCTGAACAATTGTTGAAGCACAGGGAAATCCTCTGTATTATTGGAAGGATGGAAATTAATGGTATCACTGCGAACTGACGTAATTCCATTTAACTAATACCATGTAATTATGCATTCAGCGAATGCGCAGGGCCTGAAAATTCCGATGTATTATTCAGCCGTGCATTTGCAAAAGTTTGTATTTTTACAGAACGAGTTATGAGCCTCGGGGCTTTTTTTTTATTAAACTGCGGAGGATAGTTGTTGGCTACGAATTTACGAGCATCCGTCCAGAAAGTATCAGTGCAGGCAAAAAGCTTTCATTTATGAATCATGATATATTACTGTTAAAACTCCAAACTTTTATCATTTTATTTGATAATTCCAGCGGACACCCTAAATGTGAATTATGAATGTATAATTTTCCAGTTGGGAGGTTTTTTTAAATTCACGTAAAGTGCTGGTGCGTTTTTTTTATACTAGGAATGGAAGGATCTTATTTTATTTCCTTGTATTCCTCGAATCCTAAAAATAATATTACAATTGAATGCACATTTTTTGTAATTGACAATTGTTTTCTCATGAGTAGTCATAAATTTTTTCCATAATCATGCAGAAGCTGTAGAATTGCTATTAGAAAAGACGTAGAACGGTGGAAAATTAATTACATAATTTCCGCCACTTTAATCTCCGGTTTTGTGAGCTCGTCGGAACTTAATTCCCTTGAAAAATCGTTGTTGTCGGCTCCACTAGTTTCACTGAAAAGCATTTTCCCCTCGAGGGGTAGGTAATACTCCCCATCCCCCCAAGTCATTCAGATATCATTCGTAATCCAACATATGAATTAAAAAATTCTTTCCGAAATAATCAAACTGAAAAGTTAAAAAATTAAAACTAAAATATATACCGAAAAATCTTTTCACCGCAATTTTTCATTTACCAGTTGAATTGTCACATTTCCGATACACTGTATGACTCGTTATCGCTGTTCAATCATTGATTCTCTAATCTCTCGAGTTTCCTTTTCATCCCATGGAATTTCACTGGTCGTGCTTTGTCCAGTTCCGTCAAACCGCCCATTTCCGTTGCGAATCGATCTCCCTCTGCTGCTGGCAACCGAGGGTGCACCACCTTTTCCGCCTGTCTGCCTGTCTACCCACCCATCTGTGGAAACCTCTACCTTACACCCAATGTTTTTCTTCCTTTCTTCCAGACAATCGGTCTGAGTAAAATCCCGTCTCAACTGCAAACGAGAACAATCGACAATGCCCAATGAAGAAACCAATAAAACTCACTGATAGACTTTCTACAGCTAGTTGCTAACTCGACAATTATGATGTCATTAGACACCTCGAATTTTGCCATTTGTTCCCCCCAAAAAATACCCCGGATGTACCGTAAAATCGAGTACCAATTAGACTCATTAGCACTGAATTATTCTCGTGTGTCGCTGGTCTTTCAATTATATTTTTAATTATATTATCATATTATTATTAAAACAGGCAGTTGGTTGCGCCTGTGAATCATTTTCCAATGAGTTGTTGGGATTTCTGAAAAAATTATTTAAACAACTAGGTTGATTTTCATAATGAAAACTCCTTCAAAAAACAATCATGTGAATGCATCCTGTTGGGTGTATATTTGATGACCACCGCTGAAGTGGACATTTAATAATTGAGAATTTTCAAAAATTAATCACCATGCAAGCGAGAAATACCTTTTCATCATGCATGCGTATACACTGTAATTGGTTGCCTCGTTATCCTGTAAATTGACTCCACAGGGTAATGAGATCTAGAGCAAAAAGCGAATGAAGTCAGAGTTGATACATTTAATCGAATTTGCCATGAGGAAATAACGATTAAAACTGATAATAATCTTTTCATCATTCTCATTCTCTCCATAAAACACCTGTACCTCTCCTTTAACCGAATTTCTATAGTCTGAGCTCCAAGTGCAGTCGACACTTGAAAAATTTACTCAGTGTAACGATCTTTGGGAGTTCCCAAAGATGCTATAACCTCCGTGGATGTGTCTCAGACGTACCCCAAGAGTCCAGTGAATCATTCGTTAAACTTTTCACAGTGTAAGCTGACTCTCTCCCTAATTTAACTTTACCAAGCGCTCCGCAGAGGTGTATTATATTGTTAATAATTAATCCGCGAGCGGCTTTTATACTTGCCGTGAATCCGGGGAGAAAAGAATTTCTATAGGGTAAGTTTTCTGACTTGCTTTGGATAGAAAATCTCCTTGAATCCAGTGGATCTCATATTTAATTATTAAATTATTACCGTTACTATTATAATTATTACAGTTATTTTGGGGTAGAAGAAACACTGAGAGAATTCTTAGCTCCAGTGAAGGGTTGACCCGCGTGATTAACCCCCGTAACTTCGGCGAAGGGTTCATGAATTTTCGTGCAATTGAAAATGCCGATAAGATGAAAGGAGAAACGAATCCGTGAAATGATCGAACAATTATTGGAAAGTTGGGCTTGTCGGGCATTTCACCCCTTGACACCCTTTTTTATTTTTTCAGTCGAAGGGGTGGCGCGTCATGACGGGGTGTGAGGCACGCGCGGCAGAAATAAGCAAGCGGGTGCGAGAGAAGTGAGACGACCTAACGGTGGATGAAATTTTTCAGTGAGGTTGGACGGGAGAGAGATGGGGTAGAAGAAGATGAAGTAGGGGGTGCAGGGGATGAAGGAAAGGGATAAAACGAAGGTATACCAGACTGAAGAGGTGGTAAGAGCCAAAAGGTTTTGGGGTAGTAGAAGTGAGAGGGGATGATGGAGTGGTGAGGGGGTGAGTGGGTGAGTGGGTGAGAAGGGGTGTTTCGCGCGTGCCCGGATCCACTCGGTGGTTGGATGCTGAGAGGGATGCTGGACCGCGGGTTCGCGAGGTGACAGTTCTCCGCGCAATTTCCGTGGGGTAAGGTGCCAATAACAAAATTCAATGATCATCCCCCTCACAACAACGTTTTTAAATAAATTATTTTTACGGTGAAATTCATGCAACAGAGTTATCACTTCTTCAGTGAAATCGTTGTACTTTCGAGTTTGGACGAACCCCTGGACCCACTGAGATACATTGTGAAAATTCTGGGTACGAGTCACTAACAAGTATGAACGGATTAATACACAGCAGCAATGTGAGTCATTAATTAATTTATTAATTATTTATTATGTGAGGGTCATGAGGGGTCATGAGGGTGCTTCTATCCGTAGAATATATGGCACGATTTAATCGCACGATTTTGAGAGAATAATTGAAATGTGTGCGAATGATTGAGATAAATTCTCACGATGAAGATATTTTATTATCTCACTGTTTATACAATTCCGTGATTATTGTCGATTCACGAGTTTATCCTTGGATGCAAATAGCTTTGAGTTATACGTGAGAAGATTGCCGTAATATTTTCAGTTCTTATTGCATCCAAGACGGCAGTACGGATGCCACCGATCTCATTAAAGGCTGAAATAGTCTTCCGCTGCAGACATTTCCGGCGTGAATCGAATTCTTCACCGTCCAAGGTGCAAGAACCCTCAGTACGAATTCTCAGCAATCTATTTGTTAAAAGGGTCCTCTATTTCTTCCGTTAAGTATGAAACATTTTTTTTTTTCATCTCTCATTCATAATCTCTTTCTTTTTTTATACTCTTTTCTATTCCCACCACTGAACGCGCTCTAAAGGATTCCACTGAATTTTTATCGTGCTATCAAATACCTCCAGTCGACGCTGCTAAGCGTTTTGCCTGTGCTATCGGCATTTTTTTCAATTCAGGAACTCCGGTGTAGCTCAATGAGAAAATTCCTGGTGAATTCAACTCTGAATTAAATGAATTTGACTGGAATCCAATATTTAAATAAATCGGTACAATGATCTGTTATATTTAACAAGTGATAACTCAAATAATCAGTAATATATATGTCAGTTTTGTTGGAGTGATCTATTTTCTATTAGCACCTTTGAAAAATCAATGCAGCCTGGATTTACCTCTCAGGAGAGGATGGAAACCTTTAAGTTCTCTGATCTGCTCAACGGCCCGTGATATTTGCCGCTGATTGCGAGCCCGATCAACTAAATTCAATTCGATTACTCGGGCTGGAGCTCTCCCCAGATAAATTTATCAACATTCGAAAGTTCTTGGCGTTTCCCTCACCTTATTTTCCCCCAAGATCTATTTTAAACCGCTTCGATCCCAATAAATCGGTGATGAAAGTAAATCACAATGCGAATCATATCACTTTTTTTTATCTAAAGCTATTGGATTTTCTTTTTTATTGGAATTTTATTAGGAATTATTGTCACTGTAACCTATCGGAAATTAAAAATGATGAGGCATTCAGAATTATTATTTTTTTTTATATGGAGAACATTGTCACTGTAAAAATGTGGATGAGTTTAATTCGGCTCAACGATCCGTTTAGAATTCTGCCGCTCTCTTTCACTCGAATCGTCACACCAAAAAATGAAAAACCAAAAATACATCTGCATCATAAGTATCAACACTCGGTGGATCCAAAGTCAGATATTCTGTGGTGGTCGCGTGCGCGTTTTACGTTATGAAATTTTAATGGGCTCATTCAGAATCTGCGGCTTCTGGTGCCGCTTCAGGTGTTTAGACGACTGGGAATGAAAAATTTACGAGACCGCTTGCACAAACTCAAACAGTTTTCCTCCTTTTCATGCTTTTTCCCCCTTGCCTTAACTCCGAGTAGCTGTATTACATACTTTTTTCACTTCTTCTTCACGCATTTAAATGCTGACGAATGTCTTCAGTCTTTCAATTCTTTTTATCCCATTCAAACTGCTAATCTCGGATTTTCGTCAAGTACTTTTTTTTTCATTACACTACATTACCATCCCTCCGAATAATTGATTCAGTTTCTCTTTATTATCGCATCATACTGATGTTCGCAGATTTTCTCCCTCAATTTTTCGGTAATCTACCCCGACATTCGGATATTGAATTCGAAAAAAATTTATGATCACCAAAAATTGGCGATTTTATAGCTGCACTGGATCCAGATTATTTCATGACTATTCGTTTGAGGAATTATTGCAGATAAATATGTAAAAATCGGGGGAAATATCTGGGATTTGTGGAGTTGACTGGAACGTCTATTTCCGCGGGGAAAAAGAGCAGAATGAAATTAGTACGTCTTCAGAGGAGATTTCAAACAGTCTCCAACTGCTTTACATCTCTTTCTCAGCTTTTTTTCTGCACTTGAAAGCTGATGAAGTCCCGTCCTCACCGTTTCCATTCTTCTTATATTACCATCAACTTGGAAATTCCATTCTCCACTCAAGTCCTTCGCTGCACCTCACTTATGCTCAACATAATTGTTTCCGTTCCACTCAACGACAATATCGATTTACCCTTCCATCACCCAAAACAATTAACAAATCAAACAATTAATAAAAAAAAATATAAAAAGACAGCCCCTAAAAAAAAAAGCCAAAAAACCAATAAAACCCCCAAAAAAAATCAACCAAAAAAAAATCCCAAAATAAGAATTAATAATGAAAAAAAAAAAAAAAAAAAAAAAATAATGTAAAACCTAAATGAATCGGGGAGATTCCTGAAATTGAGGGGTCTATTTGCGCGATGAAAAGGGCGTTGAATAAAATTCATAGAGATCTTCACGGGAGATTCACTGAAAAAAAAAAAAAGATAGACAGAGTGGATGGTAGAGTGCGATATTGAGTAAATAATGCAGAGGACAATTCTATTCTTGCGCTGAGTACGTTGACGGTTAGTGGGCCGCTGGGGGGTGATATAAAAGCAGACGGTGTAGTGTCGAAACGGAGGGGGTTGTAAAGGGGTTGGCCTCGTCTGTAACTTTGAAAGAGAAGAGAAAGCGCCTTTGGGGGTGTTGCCTCGTTGGAGTGGCGTGGTTTTATCATAGGAAACGTAGTCCACACGATAGAAACGCAAATGAGAAAGTAAGCTGAGAGATGCATACAATAAACGGATGGAGTGGGTGGATGGGTGGGACGATGGAGGGGGAGGGGGGGAAGGTACTTATCAACGAAATCGAGGCTAAAACTTGTGTCCAAAGTCAGCGTTTGTATGGGTTAAAGTGGTTGAGACGATAGCCCTCAGTGTTTTCGCCCCGTTATGCATATAGCCCATTATGAGTGCATTGAATTTTCAAACCTCTGGCCGCTGGGGGATTGCTTGAGGGTCAGAGGGCTCTTTTTTTTTTTCCTCTCTATTTCTCTCTCTCTTTCCTTTTCACTTCATACGGTGTGAGGTACGCGGTACGAGTACTTGGTAAACGGCGCGCGAGTTTTAGCACGAGTGCCACCGACACGCCCGGAGCATTCAGCTTCATGTGCGCATGTCGGATGCAATTCTTCAGCTGTATAAAAAATGTGTGACAAAACAAACGAGAAGTGCAATAGCGCATGTGTAAACATAATACAAGGGAATAACGCGGTTTTCACGCGTGTAATTCGGTGGTGTGGAGGGGTGTTTTCGGCTTTTGAAAATTTTTTTTTAACAATCACGTGGTGGATTTATCGCTGGGAAAATGGTACCCGTGAGATTAAATCGACTGGATTTAAATATTGCTGGGTGGGGGATAAAGGCTCGGGGGTAGTCTACCGTAATTGAAAGTTAGAGTGGATAATTGTGGGGGTTGGGGGGGTGTGGGAGTCTTTTCAGGAGTGTGAAAACAAACGGGTACGTGAGCTGAACGGTGAACGGAGGTGTTATGGATGTTGGGGTAGTGAAAATTCAGGACGCGAAGTGCAGAGTTTTATTTGTGTATATATTGGACACTCGTGGGTATCTGTACACATTTACTATTCTGCGTGCAATGTACTCGGCTAAACCGTTCGTTTTCCTACGTCACGGCCCTCTCTCATTATCCTCGGTACAATGAGGGTTGCTCCGGACGGTATTGGCATTTGCGCGGATACCAATACAATTTAATTGGAGAAAATTGAACAGACCCGAGTGTACCCAACACACACTCTGTGCACTTGCTTTTTTCTTCTTTTTTTTTTCAACTCTATTCACTCGCAGAATTTCCTGAATTGAATGCCCCCTTTTTTTTTTAACAATCAGCTCCATGGAGAAATGTTGCGCGAATCAGAGTTGAATTTCGTATACCACTTTAGATTGTAGAAGGAAATCTTTTCTTCATTCTTGGTTGTAAAAATCGGGGGGTGGAGTAATGTCAAAATGCTGGGTGCATTTACTACTTTAGTTCAGTCTCTCTCAGGTTTATGTATATCGACTGGTGTAAAATCGACTTTACTCAGGTACTTTGCGCGTAATTTCCGGGGGCGGACGTGTGCCAACGGAAAACCTCTCTCTCGGCCACTTCCGCTGGAGCTTAAAATTAAATTCCATGGGGAAATCTTTTTTGTTTCTTTTCTTTTTTTCTTTCAATTTTTTTATGATCGATTATCGCTGTAGTGATCTGAACTTTATTGAGTTATTCACTTGCTCTGCCTCATCGAGGAATAGGCGGTCTCCTATGGGGAGGCAAATAGGAAAACCGGAATCATGTTGGGGGTTTTTCAATCGACGGGATGTTAAACTTTCCAATTCCCATTATTTAATTGTAATATTCTCCATAAATGACGATTTTATGGGAAAATAATATCAGAATTTGAATCTCTCCTTGTAAAAAGTTGAGACGAAAAAAGTTTATTTAATTAGAAATTCAAATGAACAACGGCTTTGTTGCTAAATAAAAAATAATACCAAATACCGATCTCCTCGAATCGGCAGAAGCCACCGATGATATTTTT